GCTGCAAGGGCGCGGGGGTCTGCGGAGGGGGCAGGGGGACGTCAATGGGTGGTAATTAATGGGAACGAGGCCACGTGTGCAGGGCCAGGGCGCTCGCTGGCTGCGTCCCCCCGCCGGCTGCAGCCCAGTGCCGTTATAAACAGCGGCCAGGCGACCCCCGAGCCAGAGCACCGCGGAGCCCCCCAAGCCAGCCCAGGTAAGACGGTGATGGATGTGGGGTTTCCCCTGGCCCTGGGTGGGACAGCGTGGCCTTCCATGGCGTGCTGCACCGTGCCAGTCCATGGCATGGCTTGCTCTGACGTGCCATGCCGGGAGACGGTGCCTGCACTGTCCTGCTTCGGTTTCGTCCCAGCCGCAGGACACCTCCTGCTCTGGCCGTGCATCCCGAGCTGCCCAGTGCAGGTGCACTTGCCCAGTGCCGGTGCACTTACCCAGTGCCGGTGCACTTACCCAGTGCCGGTGCACTTGCCCGGCAGGCTCCAGGCACTGTGGTGAGGCCAAGTGCTGCCTCTGCAATGCCCCAGGGGTGATGCCTGGATATCACATCCCCCCAGCCCTCCTTTCCTTCTCTCTTTCTCTTGCAGGCAGCTGAGCTGTGGTTCCTGCCACCTCCGTCTGCCCCTGCCTCTGTCTGATATGTTTGATATTAGGTTGTTTTATTAGAAAACCAACTAAATATCAAACATATTCTTACAGCGCCAGGGATGCCCAGCGCTGACTTGGCCAGATGCTGCCTGTGCCGTGCCCTGCACTGAGGGGTCCCTCTGCACCTCAACCTGCAGCCCTTTCAGTGCCGCAATAAAACCTGTCTGCCCGTCTCCATGGGGCTTGAGAGGGGGAGGCCAGAGCTGTCCTGGGGACTGGCGGAGGTTTGGGATGGCAGTGGGGTCAGCACTTGCCACCTGTCCCCTCGCTCATGCTGGGGATGATGACAATACAAAGGCCCGTGGCCCCGTGCCCACTGCTGGCTCTGCTGCCCCAGCTCAGGGGGTTATTTATGGAGGTGCAGCCACTGCTTGGGGCCCTTGGTGGATGGGCACTGTTCCTCCAGCACCCTGCCCAGGGTGCTACGAGCTGCCACCAGGTCTCTGTCCCTGAGGTCCCTGGGTGCTGACCCTCCTAGCCCCCAGAATCTGTCCTTGGGTGGGAACAATGAGTCTCTTCCACAGGAGATCCTACCCCAGCTTATGGGACCTCGGGGCTGGCACGAGGAGGCCGTGAATCCCCTGGCTGTGGGTGGAGTGCTGCTGCTTGCCCTGAGAATTCCTCCCTGTGCCTCGGGAATCTGCTCCTCCAGCTGCCAACAGCATCCTCCACCTCAACACCAAGCACCAGCATGGCTGGAACTGGGCTCAGGGCTCAGCAGGCTCCTGGGGGGTTCTGGCCCTGGTGCCAGGCTCACTTTGTCCCACTGCTCCCTGCAAAGCCAAACACTCTGGGCCAGGGGCTGCTGCCAAACCCCTGCTCCCAAAATAGCACCAGGCTGAGCTCGCCCTTTTCCATGCCACCCCCAGGCAGGGGGAAACGTCAGCCCAGGGCCACCAAATACCCTAAGCCCCTGGTGGAGGGCAAACATGGCAGGGTAAGACTTTGTGCTGGTGCTGCATGGACCCAGCTCAACATCCTGAGGGAGCGCTGGGTGGGAGCACAGTGTCCTCGTGGCACCAGCCAGGGTGTCCTGTTGCATGGGGGGCAGAGGGGCAGCTGGGACAATACAGGACCCCCTGCTCGCAGACCTGCCACTGCTTTTTATAACACTCCAGCTGTCCTCATCAGCCCAAATAAGGCCGTGGCCACCCGGACCCCCTGGGGCGGACAATGGGTCCCGAGCACAGACTTTTTGGGAAGGTGGGGAGGCGGCTCGGCCCAAGAAAGGCAAAGCCCTCAGGCTGGGTAGAGCTGATAAACAGGCAGCGGAGCACAGGCAGCACAAGTGCCCTGCCCACCCCTTGCCAGTCCCGTATCCAGCCACCCACTGCCGCCCGTGTCCCAGCGAGGATGGAGGCCATCAAGAAGAAGATGCAGATGCTGAAACTGGACAAGGAGAATGCTCTGGACCGGGCGGAGCAGGCGGAGGCTGAGCAGAAGCAGGCAGAGGAGCGGAGCAAGCAGGTAGGGCAGGCGGTAGCAGCCCCCAGCCCAGGGGTGTTGGGAGGTAGCTTCTGCCTGTGTTGGCTCACGGCGAGCCCAGACCTAACACCCAACACAGACTCTGGCTGGGCTATGAGGGTGCCACAGCTGACAATGTTCCACAGCTCGAGGGCACCCCGAGAGCCGCCCAGGGCTCAGCCCCTGCCAGTTGGTGGGGTGTGGGAAAAGGACAGACACTGTGGGGCAGTGCTGGTCCCAAGGATGGGGCAGGAGGGATGCTGTGGGGCAGAGCTGGTCCCAAGGATGGGGCAGGAGGGATGCTGTGGGGCAGAGCTGAGCCTGGGATGGGGCAGGCAGGGCTCTCTCGCAGTGCAGGGATCCAATGTGTTGTCCACCTGTGGTGACACCACTGCCCTTCCAGCTGGAGGATGAGCTCGCTGCCATGCAGAAGAAGCTGAAGGGGACAGAAGATGAACTGGACAAATACTCTGAGGCCCTGAAAGATGCCCAGGAGAAGCTGGAGCTGGCAGAGAAGAAGGCAGCAGACGTACGTATGGGGTGCAAGGTGGAAGCTGAGGGCTGCCCTCCCCTTGTATCCTTCCTGATGGGACTACAGCCCTTCCCTATGCCTTGGGGACACAGGAAGGTCCCTGTCTGGCTCAGTGCATTCCCAGCAAAGCTATGTGGGTGTCTGGGAGCAGAGAGTGACCCTGTGAAGGACACGTCCCAAGGGCAGAGCCAGGCAGTGAGCAGCCCCTTGAGAGTGGGACACGTGTCCCCAGGAAACTCTGAGTCACAGCTGTGGGCAGAGGAGTTGAGCTCCTGAGGAGGAGGAGGAGGAGGAAGACAGGTATGGCATGGCAATGCCATGCCAGTGCATAGGCAGTGTGAGGATTGCAGAGCCCAGCTATTGTTGGCCGCTGTTCCCAGGAAAACAATGGCACCAGCGGTGCAGGGTTTCACTCGCTGGCCGCTCTCCGACCATCATGAGGCATCTGGCCCTGCTCATCACTTTCCAGGACCTGGCAGCCAGGGGCCACCTCCCCGTGGGGCTGGGACGTCTCAGGGTCCGATGTTGGGGCGATGCAGCTCTTCCCTCCTGCGGGAGCCAGGAAATCCTGTGGCTCCTCTCCCTCAGAGGGCCCAGCTCTGACGCAGAGGAGGCAGGAACTGTCCTCTGCCACTGTGCCCACAGGGAAGTGCCTGAGCCCTGGCACAGCACCTGGGCTGCCCTCACTGGCACATTCTGGCTCCACGCTGGGGGTCAGGGTGTTACTGGGAGCTCTGGAGCCCTTCTGGAACCCTGCGATATTTGTCACCCTGCAGCTTCGCTTGCGGCCCCCCGTCCCAGCATGGTGGCAGTGCCATCCCTGCACTGGAGTCGGCACATGCTGAGTGGGGCATCGCAGAGCTGTGGGAGCCCTTTCCCTCCCTCACACCCTTCCTACTTCCTTCTGCTCCCTGTTGGCATTTTCCTGCTGTCACCACATCCTCATTTGCTTTTTTGTGGATCCCTCTCTGTGCCCCTGGAGCCCCTTTTCCTGGCTGCTGTCACCTCAGGGTGGCCCTTGGGGCTGCCCAAGTTTCCCCCTGGTTCCAGGCAGTGGAGGGACTGGATGGGCAGAGCTGGCTCCCAGGTGCCTCCAGTTCCCCCTCATCCCTGGAAACGTGCCATGCTGCACAAGCCAGCCCAGGCAAACGTGGCCCTGCAGCATCCACCTGCCCAGCTGCTGAGGATGTCGAGGCAGCAGCCTGGAACGCTTCCCTTCTATCCATGTGCCCGAAGCCCTGCTGAATGGGCTTGGTGGGGAGTGAGGGCAGCAACGGGGGTCGGTGGTGTGTTTACTGAGCTTTTGGGGGGCTCCAAGAACAATCACGGCACCAAGAGACACGGCTCCTGGCTCCAAGGAACGCTGATCTTGGCAGCGTTGTCTGCACCATCGTCTGCCCTCGCACTGGAGGGTTCTCACAGGGGCTCAGGCCGTCGAGATGTTGGGGTTTGGCACACGGGAGCAGAACGGGAGCCCGGCAGTGACAGCTGACAGCCCCAGCCCTGGGCAGGAGGAGGGAGCGGGATCTGCCGCAGGGCTGTGGGGTCCTGGCCCCGGCAGGGTGCGGGGTCTCTCCCAGGGTTGCAGTGCCCAAGATCGGACCCCGTGGCCCAGCAGTCTCCAAATGTGGCCCGCAGGGCTGAGGGAAGGGCGGCACCGGGGGGTCCGGCCCCATGGAGGGGGGGACCTCCTCCGGGCCCTGTGCTCCCCGACATTCGGGGATTCGGGGCCGGTCCCGCTGCCCCCACACCCACACGGGACAGGTCCTTGTGCACCCAGGGGGCCGCGGTGCAGATCCCGGTGTCCCCCCCGGCCCGGTCCCAGTCCCAGTCCCTGTCCCGGTGTCCCACGTCCATGTCCCAATGCCCCAGGCCCCAGTGTCTCCCGATCCCGGTGAGTCCCAGTGCCGGTGAGTCCCAGTGCCGGTCCCGGTGTCCCAGTCCCCGGCGAGTCCCGGTCCCCGTGTGTCCCGGTGTGTCCCGGTCCCGGCGTGCCCCGGTCCCTGTGCCCCAGGCCCCGGTGTGTCCCAGTGTCCCCGCCCGGTGCCGGTGCCCCCCCGTCCCCGGTAAGTCCCGGTGTGTCCCGCTGTGTCCCGGTGCCCCGCCCGGTGCTGGTGCCCCCCCGTCCCCAGTAAGTCCCGGTGTGTCCCGGTGTCCCCCCCGGTGCCGGTGCCCCCCCGTCCCCGGTAAGTCCCGGTGTGTCCCGGAACCCCCTCCGGTGCCGGTGCCCCCCCGTCCCCGGTAAGTCCCGGTGTGTCCCAGTGTCCCCCCCGGTGCCGGTGCCCCCCCGTCCCCGGTAAGTCCCGCGGGGCGGGGCGGAAGTGCCGTCAGTTCCGGGCGGCGGGGCCGGGCGCGGTCCCGGGGGGTGCGGGGGCGGCGGCGGGGCCGGAGCAGACGGACCGAGCATGGCCGGGGCCACCACCATCGAGGCGGTCAAGCGCAAGATCCAGGTGTTGCAGCAGCAGGCGGACGATGCGGAGGAGCGGGCGGAGCGCCTGCAGCGGGAGGTGGAGGCCGAGCGCCGCAACCGCGAGCAGGTACGGCCGGGGCCGCCCCGCCGGGGCACGGCCGGGCCGGCGGCGCGCCCGGGGACCGGGGGATCCCGCTCCGAGCCGCGGGGAGCGCCCGCGGGGTCCGCTGCGCCCCGGGTGTCCCGCCCCGTGGCCGGGGGTCTCTCCGGGTCCCTGGGACCTGCCCGTGGTGCTGAGCGGGGGCCGGAGCGGGGGGGGCCGCAGGGCGTTGTTCCGCCGTGTCCCGTGTCCCGGCGCTGACCGAGGCCGGGGGGACCCGGCCGGGCCCGACCGGGGGGAGGGGGAGGCCCCGGCCATCTTGTGCGGCCCCGAGCCCGGAGCTGCGCGGGTAAGATGGAAGGGAGGAGGGAGCGGGGTCCCTGGGCTGCGGACGGGCAGAAGCCCCCGGAGCATCTCCCGAGCCCCGCATCCTGCCCCCGGCACCGGCAGCCGCGGGGGAAACACAGGGGCTTGGCTGGGATGGCCTGGAAGGAAGGAAGGAAGGAAGGAAGGAAGGAGGGAGCAACCACGGCAGGATCTGAGCTGGCAGCTCCGGGGGACGCCGGCAGGGCTGGGGACCGGCATGGGTGACACGGGCAGCCCCTCACGGTGCCCGGCTCCCTTGGGCCAGGGGCACAGGCAAGGCCGGTGTGTTGTGGGCACAGGGATGGGGTGACACGGGGCCGGTCCCGGCTCGAATCCGAGTGCGGCTCTCGGTGAATTTGCAGTGACTTTGCTGGAGCTGAGCCCTCCCCGCTCAGTACCCAAGCTGCATGTCTGTGACAGCGCTGTGTGATCGGGCTCTGCTGCCCAGGCCCATGGCAAAAGCTCCTGGGCTTCAGCTGGGCTATTTTTTCGCAGCCACATAAGGAATTTTCCCCGTAATAGCAGCGTTGTCATGGGAACACGCGTGCTTCTCCCAGCTCCCTGAGCCTCCCTCCTTCAGGGGAGCCAACCAGTACTCCCAGTGTGATGCTGGTCCCGCGTCCTGGGGAGCCCTCTTGGATCTCTGTGGCCTGGGGAAGCGATGGTGAGTCCTGAAGGCCGGGGTGAGCTCCTCCCTTGGCTTGCAGGGCTCCTTGATTCAGGGCTGCCTTCCTGAAGGAAGCACGGAGTAACAGGAATGTGCCACTTGCAGCAGGGCTGCCTGGAAGTCCCCTGGAAGTTCACCCCGTGATGCCGGGAAACCTGACAGTTTTGGCTGCATCCAGGGAGGAGCAGCAGAAGGGGATGTGTAAGGGCCCTTCTGCAGCGGGGAGAGGCACTTCCTCAAAAGCAGCAGTGGTTTTTGGGTGGGTTAAGCACTGCCTGCAGGAAGTCAGGGCTAAGTGATGCAGTTCAAAGGGTCGAGAAGCAGAGGCCGGCTGTGCTGGTGAGTCCCCACCTCTTGGCAGAGGGAGGGAGGATGTTCTCCACCTCAACAGCTCGTGTCCCCTTTAATAGGCAAAAGATATGTGCCAGGCAGTCTCCTTCCCAGTTCTGTTTAAGGTATTGTTGTGCTCCTCTTCGGGCAGACCACTTCCCCTTCAGGCGGGGCAGGTCCTGGCTCTGGGCACCCACAGGGGTGTGGGCTTCCTGGGTGTGCCTGCATGGGAGCTTCTCTGCCGCTTGTGCTCTCCCAGCCTGGTCTTGGAATGTGGCAGGGGGTGCCTCAGTGGCAGAAGGGGCGGGGAGAGCTCGGACAGCCCCTCCGGGAACTGGATGCAACTGGTGTTGGGCTCGGCTGTAACACTGGCGCCTTTCATTGCTCTGCTCCTCCCTTCTCCGCACCGTGAGGAGCAGCGTGTCTGCGTAGGCTGCTTTGTTACATTCAGCTGGGGTGTTTTGTGTCTGTCTGGCATGTGCCTGTGCCCAGGTCCCTGCAGAAGATCACAGCACTGCCCTGAATGACCACAGCCCTGCCTGCCTTTGTCGTTCCGTGGGGGAGCAGCATTCTGAGCTCCCCAGGGCGCTCCAGTGGGGTGTCCCTGTCCCCAGAGCATCTGGGCTCCCCTGGTCTCTGCCTGGGGTTTGCATGGATGGGGCTGTGAGGAGGGGCCTTGTGGCTGATCGCAGTGGCTGGGGGATGGGACAGCCCCTGATCTCTGCTGGTCACTTCTGTGGTCACATTTCTGGCAAATGCCTGAGGGCTTTCAGCAGTTTCACCAGCTCCTGGTGCCTGTGGCTGAACCGAGGTGGCTGTTGCTGGGGAACAGCCTCCTCAACCTGTCTCAGAACTGGAGGAGGCTTTTGCTGCTTCTCTGGGTTGTTAGTGACTCACTGGGAGGAAGGAGGCCTCGAGCAGTGCGGGCTCTCTTCTGGGGCAGCGATGAGCCCTGGGTTGGGCAGCGCTGGTGGCCCACCCAGCCTGCCAGCACCTGACATAACTTGGCACATCCCTGAGCCTGTTAATCCTTCTCGCCTTACTGGTGAGAGGGTTTGCCTCAAGCAATGCTCTCCGGTGTCCAGATCCTGTGAGTAAACTGACTCTGTGCTAAGTGGCAGCTGTCACCATGCTCTGGCGTGGTGGGTAAACAGCTGTGATGGATGGCCTGGCAGGATCCCAGCAGCTGCAGAGGCACCCCTTGGCGCGAGTCATCTCCTTAGTGTTTATGGCTTCAACTGTCAGGGCAGCTCAGGCTGGCAGGGAAAAGGCTGCAGGAGGGCTGCAGCGTGGACAAGGCATGCAGGAACGTGCTGCAGGCCTCTGGGAGAGGGGCTGAAGGTTTGCTTAGGGCTCCCACGTTGACCCGGTGGCAGAGCTCAGCTGCCCTGCCCGAGCTGCTCAACCTGCACGGGCTGAGTCCCCTCCTCTGCTCCCTCCAGGCTGAGGCAGAAGTGGCATCTTTGAATCGCCGTATCCAGCTGGTAGAGGAGGAGTTGGACCGAGCTCAGGAGCGCCTTGCCACGGCTCTGCAGAAGCTGGAAGAGGCAGAGAAGGCAGCAGATGAGAGCGAAAGGTGAGCAAGGGCTCCTGCTCACACTCTGTCAAACGTCTCGGATGTGTTTCTGACTGAGGGCCCAGTGCCATCCAACCTTTTGGGCTTCCCAGAGTGGGGGAAGGAGATCCCACATCAAGGCTGGATGTGGGAGTCGGTGCCTGCTTACGCAGAGCAGCTAAAACAATGCTGATGGCCTTGAGTGGCTTAGAACCTGAGGCTGCTGATGGCCTTGAGTGTCTCGGAACCTGAAGCTAAGGAGCAAGGCAGTGCTGTGTGCTACCATGCATTCCTGCCTCCAAGGGAGGAGAAATAAGTGGGTTTGGAGACACCATTGCCTTGTGAAGGTGGGGCAGCCTTTCTTCCTGCAGCCTCTGCCAGCATCCTCTCTGCTGGCAGATGTCCCCTGACCTGGCCTCTGATTCAAAGGGTCCCCTTGCAGCTGGCTGATGTGCTTCCTCGGTTGCACACTCTGTGGTGAGCAGCCCGGCCCAGCTGGTGGCCTGCCATGGAGATGGACTTGGCTCTTCCTGCATTCCAGATGGAGAAGTGCTTGACTTGGCTCTGCTGAGTCCCTAAGACAGCCGGACTTGTTCTTCTCAGCAGCACCACACTTCCCTTGACACAGGAGCCCAGGGAGCTGCTAGAGGAATGTTCCAAGGAACAGTTAATTCTGAGCAACTGAGGTTCACATCAGCCCAGCAGTGTCTGCCTTCCTGTGCCACCCTCTGTACTGAGGAGCCATGGCTTGTCAGGAAGCGCTGTGGTTCCAAGGGAGCGCTGTTAATGCTCTGAAACTCATCTCAGGGTTGTTTTACACACCTCCTCTCCCTGTGCTTACTTCTGGACAGAGGTATGAAAGTCATTGAAAACAGAGCTCTTAAAGATGAGGAGAAGATGGAACTGCAGGAGATCCAGCTCAAGGAAGCCAAGCACATCGCAGAGGAGGCGGACAGGAAGTATGAGGAGGTGAGACTCTTGGATGCTCTGGTACAGCAGACCTGGGCCAGGAGAGGCAGCTCCTCTTCCTGCTCACAAGGCTTTCCTCAGCAAAGCTGGGTGCAGAGCCTGGCTCTCAGCAGAGCTACATCAGTGCTTTGCTTGGCCAAAAACCTCTGGCAGCTCCAGCAGCTCTTGCAGGCATTCATTCCCTTCGCTGCTGTGCACAGCCTACAAGTGCAAAATCATCCTCCTTCCTCCTGATCCTGATTCTCCCTTCCAGGTTGCTCGGAAACTGGTGATCATAGAGGGAGATCTGGAGCGTACTGAAGAGAGAGCTGAGCTGGCAGAGTCGTGAGTAGTCCACTGGCATGAAAGTGGCACGTCTGCCTCTGCATGGGAACTAACACTGCATTGGTAACCTTGTTACACAAGGCCTGAAGCACTGGGTGGGTTTAGGTCCTCGGAGGAAAGGGCTGGAAGCACTCTCCTCCTTGAAACACTGTTGGCTCCACTCAGGACAAGGAGTTTGTGATGTGATTTGCCTTGGGTGGAGTTGCTCTGCCCCTTCGCATGGAGGCACTCCCCAGTCACAGAGAGAGCCCTTCTCCCCACAGCATTCACCAGCACTGCTTTGTGTGTGCAGTCACGAGATCCTTCACGTAGCCACAGGGCACAGGGTTTGCCCTAAAGCAGCAGAGGCCTCCTGGGCTGGGGGCTGAAGCAGCACATGGGATGGCTGAGGGCAGAGCTGTGGCTGAGGCTGCTCTCTGGCTTCTGCAAGTATTTGCAGTAAGCACTCCAGGCTCCTGCACTGCTGAGCAGCAAGCTGGACTTCCTCTGCTCAGAGCAGAGGTACAAATCCTACAAATCCCCTGGTCTTCTTTCACGTGTCTGGATGCTTTAGCTGATCCTGGAGGAGCTGGCCAGGACCTTTCCGTGCTCTGGGCCTTGTCTAACGCAGCTGGTGTGTGCGCAGCAGCAGCACTGTGCTTCCTGCCCAGACGTGCATGTTGTGACCATGACTTTTTTGTGTTTCCCCCCCACCCCCTTTTTTGCTCTATGGTGTTGTGGTTTTGGTGCTCCTTTTGACTTTGCCCCCACCTGGCTTGTGCCATTGTGTGACCGTCACTAACAGTCATTGCCGGGAGCTGCAGGAGCAGATCAGAGTGATGGACCAGAACTTGAAGTGTCTGTCTGTTGCCGAAGAAAAGGTACTAACCTTTCCCTTCTCGAACCATTAAACCAGAACTCTTGTGGTCTCCTCACTGTGCTCCTCCCGTCAGCTTAACTGCGTCTTTCTCTCTCCTGGAACGTCCTGTCCTCTCTGCCCATGAATATCCCTGTTTGAGTGGTGGTGGCTGTCCCTCTGTCCGTTGGAACAGCTTCCTACTGTACAGCACACTAAACATGCAGCTTCTCCTTGGAGACTCCAGGTCTGGCAGAAACCTGTGTCCACATCCCGCTGCTCAGCTTCGTGCCCTGTACATGTGCTGGCAGAATACTTAGAACATGAGCTCGGAGGCAAAAAGGGGAACTTGCTTTCTGCACAAGTGCCTCAAAGCAGGATTCCATCCAGTCTGATCTCAGACAGTCTCCTAAAGAATTTCCTGGTCTTCCCTGCATGTGGATTCACTTCTTGTCTCCTGTCTTTCCTTCCCATTCCTCCTTTTCCTTTTTCCCCCCTTTTCTTTACAAAACCCCACAGTAAATGTTCCGAGCTGGAGGAGGAGCTGAAGAATGTCACCAACAATCTCAAGTCTCTTGAGGCTCAGGCTGAGAAGGTAGGGCTGCCTGTCCCAGGGCCAGAAATATTGCTGTTGTGCTAGGAGGGTGTGTGAACAGCAGAGCACCCACCGGGATGGAAATGATGCAACTGCAATCTTAAGCAAGCCAGGAGAGCTGTGCTTGTTCTCCTGGGAGGGCTAATGGATTTCACCGGAGGGCTGTGGAAGCTGGGATGGAAGCTTGGCTGCCCTTCCCTGCCTTGGGGCAGACTCTATCAGCCAGGATGTTTAAGTTGCTAAGATGTAAAGATGAGAATTTTTCTGTGCCCAGGTTTGTGTTCTGTGCATGATGTGGGACTTGCTACCTGACCCAGCCCTGTTGGACACGGGCAGGGATGTGAACAGTTCCCAGTTGGAAGTTTCTGTGGGCATGTGTGCTGCAGTGAGGAGTTTGTCTCCCTCTGTAGCTGTGGGTTCTCTGGAGTGGGAGGTACCTGGGGCTGCTGATTGCTGACTTCTTTTCCACAGTACTCTCAAAAAGAGGATAAATATGAAGAAGAGATCAAGATCCTGACTGATAAACTCAAAGAGGTGAGTGCCCACATCAGGATGGCCCAGCTGGGTGATCTGGCCTCAGCTTGACAGGGGAGAGACGTGGAGAATGGGAGGCTCCATGTCCTCAAGCTGATGGCCTTTGCTGCAGAGCTGTTGCACTAACTGGCATTTTCCATCGGGCAGGCGGAGACCCGCGCTGAATTTGCTGAACGCTCTGTAGCCAAGCTGGAGAAGACCATTGATGATTTGGAAGGTACATTTTGGTGATAGGAAACCAACGAATGTGTGGTGAGGAGCGAGGAGCTAAGGAAGGCTGTCTCCCAGTAGCTGGGAGTGCAGAGGCTGCTGTACTCCTCAATACCTGGATTATGCCCTGACTTGGCCTCCAAGATGAGGCTTGCAAGAGTCATGCCCTGTGTGTGTGCTCTGAGAACAGCTCCCCAGCTGTACTGCAGCAGATCTCAAGCTCCTTTTCCAGACACCTGCCTTTTCTAACTGATGGCTGGTGTGGTTTGGTGGTGATGTCCTCAGGAATGTAACTAGATCCCTGTGCTCCAGCTTAATCCAATTTAAGGAGTGGCACAGGAAAGAAACACCTGAACTTGCAGAATTAGTCACAATAACATCCCTGCATGCAGAAGGTCATGCTGGCTGGTGCAATGTCCTGCCAGTCAACAGCCACAGGAGTCAGTGAGTCTTGAAACAGCTCCCGTGAAGACTCAGACTCCCCAGTGTTGGTCCTGGATGAAGGTTAAGTCACCAGCAGCCCCATCCATAAAGTGATGGTCAGCCAGTGCCAAGGATGGGTTCCTCTCCTCCTGCCATTCCTTCACACAGTCCTTCAGGAGCACTCCTGAGGCCAGCTATTGCAGAACCTTGCCCCAAGCCACGGAAGAAGGTTCCAGCTGCTTCCCTTAAATCTGGGGCTGTGGCCAGATTTTCCTGTGGATTGCTGTGTCTGGAGTGGTGGTGCTGGTAAACCAAATCCCTTAGAGGCCTTCTGCCTTGACCACAGGTGTGCCTTTGTGGTCTTATAGTGCCAGGTCTTGGAGATACAAAGCCCCATCCTATTGTCTGGAGCTTTATTATCTAGAAATAGCAGTGGTGTCAGCTGAGCTGTCCCAGAACCGCAGCCAAGCAGCAATTGGAGCTGCCTCATGATCCAGGACAAGCTTTTATGGGGAACTGCAAAAACTCCTCCACATCCCTGCATACTCCCCTTCAAACCTGTTGATTGAGAGTTGGCTCTGATCTCCAGCCTTGCTGCTGAGGTGACCTAGTTTGTGACACCTGACAGAGCTCCCCAGGCTGTTGTGAGGCTGTTAACAGCATGACCAGCTGTACTGTAGCCCAGGCAGCCAGAGCTGGAGCAGCCTGTGCCAGCTCTGCAGGGCTCAGGAGTGCATCAGCACAGCTCCAGGCCCGCCCCTCCCCGGAGGCCACGAGCTGCCTGTCTGCTCCATTATCTGATGGAGAACACCGGTGGGGCTGGTCTGTTCCACTTGCCCCACCTCACCACCTCCTGCAGAATGGGAATTCCTTCTGATGCCCAGCTCTATTACATGACTGACTTCTCCCAAGCCAGTCTTTGCACTGAGATACAAGGTGAGAACAAAGCACCTCGATTGATCAGTGCCCTCCCTGGGTGTAGCAAGCTTCTCCCTAAGTGGATGAAGTTGCCCTTCCCTGCTTCTCCTCCTGTCACTGGTTCCTGCTGACCTAGCTGGGCAGCTTGTTTTTACAAGCTAATGTGGTTTGAGTGCTTGGCTCTGCTCCTCTCAGAGCTGGATTGTAATCCTGGAAGGCACTTACTGGTCAGACCATCCTCAGGCTGCTGGAACCCTCTTGTTTATTGTTGGGGATGAGCACGGAGTCCTGAGAGCTTCACATTTAATTTAATTTTCTTCTGTTCTTGAGTCCCATCCTGCTTTTCCTGCCCCAGAGTGTCGGAAGAACTCCTCTGCCTTCCCTCATTGTTTCCCTTTTGTTCTCCTCCTAAACCTCTTCTAGATGAGCTCTATGCCCAGAAACTGAAGTACAAAGCAATTAGTGAGGAACTGGACCACGCCCTGAATGACATGACTTCCATGTAAATATGAGCTGGCTGGCGTTTGCCTCTCGCTTCAGCAGCCTGGGCCGCCAGCGCTTGCTTGGTTTGCTGTGGTTTCCGTAGCTGGAGAGTCGGCGGCGCTTGTGCCGTCCCAGGTTACTTCTACAGATCTGCCCAAGGCGCCCCAGCATGCCCTCCTCTAACTCTAGGCCCTCGTGATCTGCATGTGTAACCAAGTGCTGTGCTGGCCTGACAGGGTTCGGACTTGAACTCCTGGAGTGCAGTTCCCGGTCCCACCGGGAAAGGCTTCCTGAGGTAAAGCGGCTTTGTTGTCTGCTGGAGCCACTGGGCCACGGTCTCGGGATTCCTTCAGGAAGAGGCTGTGGATAGTGCTCAAGTGGATTCCTTAGGAATTGCCGCAACAGGCTTGAGATGGGCTGGATCATGAACTGATCTGTGGAAGTAGCTGAACTCGTGTGTTTCCGCAACTTTGCTCCTCAGCTTTGTGTTCAGATCTGCGGTGGGTGCTGCTCTAACAGCTGCTCCGCGGGGTCCTTGCACTAACCCAGGAGAGGCCGGGTCCCCCCACCTCAGAGAAGAGCCTTAACATGAGTGTCCCAAAGCTGCCTAAGCAGAGTTTGCTGTGCAAAAATACCGAAGCTTCTCTTAAAATTAGTGTCTCCTTCTGTCTCACACAGATAAGTCTTGCGATTCCAAACTCCACTTTGGATTTGTCTCTCTGCTTGGTGGCTTGATCTGCATCCGCACTCTGCATTCACGCTCTCGTCATCTCACTTTGAATTCCAGTACCTTTTCCCGGTTACTGTGCACAGGGCATCCCTGGGAAAGGGTGCTGTAAAGACACTGAAGCTTGACAGCAGCAGCAGCCCCCCACTTCTGCTGCTCTTGCTCCCAAACAAAGCTCCCTCTGTGCGACCCGATGTGCCAGACACGGCCTGCTCTGAGGGGCTGCCCTTTCTGTGTCGGGGGAGCTGGGAGGATGTTGTTCTCATCTGCATATCTTGTGTGGAGCCATAAAGCTCCTTTTGTATTTTTCTTGCCTCTTGCTAGAGCATGATGTCACCTTTTTTAAGGAAAACAGTTCGTGTATAAATGGAACAGAATGGCTGGTGCTTTTGAGAAGTGGGATTCTAGTGACCACTCGCTGCTTTAGAGTAACTGTTTCAGCATTGCCTTCAGACTAGTGTCACCCTCAGTGGAACACAGCTAGCTTGCTGGATTTTCCCTGGGGTTGTGTTGCTGGCTCCCAGATGCGATGGCAGCACTGCAGACGGGACCTGTGGGGTCAAACGGGAGGCTGGGGGTTGCAGCAGGAGGCCCTGGAGCTGTGCCTGGCTGAAGACACTCATCATTTGTGCCTGCTTTGGAGTGTTCACCAACACCAGTTGCCAAGCACTGGCTTGCAGTGGGAGGTCACAGACACACCTGGTAGTCGCTAGGTCAAGGTGTGGAAGCCAATAAATGTTGTGTGAGCTCTGGCTGGTGTCCCGCGGGGCAGGGCTGGTTTGGGTGTGAGGCTCTGCCTGTGCTGCAGGGAGGGCTGTGAGGCCCTTGGCACATCAGGAATGAGGAGGCACCACCACTGCAGGGCTGTGAGCACCCAAACCAGGGAACCCACGTTTTGCAGAGCCCTCCCCTCACCGTGCAGGGGCTGAGGGCAGCGGGATCCTTCTGGGAGCGTGGCATGGAGCTCTCCACGGGGCACTGCGCTGGGCTGCGAGCACCTGGCGCGTGTCACTGCCGCTCGTGGTGTGGTATGATAAACACTGGTCAGCCCGGGGGGACGGTATGTGCTGCCTCGTGGGGGCTGCTCAAATACTTTTTCCTTTCTGGGTCGGTTCATCTGCCACAGTGCCCGAAGAGCCCTTCGTGAGCAGAGCTCTGGTGACATAGGACACTTCCCGTGGCTTCCTCAGGTTTGTGCCCCTCTGTTTTCCACACGACAGCACTGGCAGTCAGGATAGTCCAGGCACGCCCCAACCTGTTCTCACTCTGTCTTTGGTGCCAGGTCTGGGTGGGGAAGGAGGGAGCATTCCTGTAAGGAATTTCAAAGTGTGGTCTGACTCTCCTGGGATTTGGGGCAGTAACTGTGCCCTGTAAGCACAAAGCAGGAACCTAGAACTCCTCAATAACCCAACTGCAGCTGGAGTTGGGGGTCTGGGTCCTGTGGGAGGGGCAGGGCATCTGTCAGTGTAGAGGCTTCCAGCCCATTCCATTGTCAGCTGTTGGCACAATGGGGCCTCATCTATGTCGGTCAGTCTGCAGGGAGGGAGTTGGGTGAGGGACCAGGCTCTGCTTGGTGGTGCCCAGCAATAGGACAAGAGGCAATGGACAGGAACTGATGCCCAGGAAGTTCCACCTGAACGTGAGGAAAAACTCCTTTCCTGTTTGGGTGACCGAGCACTGGCACAGGCTGTGCAGAGAGGGTGTGGAGTTTCCCTCACTGGAGATAATCCAGAGCTGTCTGGATGCAGTCCTGTGCCATGGATGACCCTACTGGAGTAGGGAGTTTGGACCCACTGTGGTCCCTTCCAGTCTCGCCCATTCTGTGGTTCTCCCTGGGTGGAGGTGGCAGCCTGCCCTTGGGCAGTTCCTCTCTGCTCCTGGGGAGGTCCTGTTGTGTTTGACTCATGCTGTGGGGAGCTGGTGGCTCTGCTCTGCTCAGTGGTGTTCCAAGTGATGTTATCTGAGGCTGGGCTGTGGCAGGGCCTTTCCCTGCTCTCTGGATGGAATCCACGCTGGGTGGCAGGTGGGTGGGTGGGTGGGTGGGTGATGCATTGTCTGCCCTGGGAGGTTTTGGAGGCATCTGGTCTGACTGGATTGCTGGGCTTGCATGGGCTGGTTGCTGGGAGCTGGGCTGTGACTGGGGAGTGCTGCAAATGCAGATTAGCTGACCAGGAGGGCCAGGGCCTGGGGCTCCCTGAGTGGCAGGGATAGCTGGTGGGGCTCCCCTGGGGCTGGGCAGAGAGGAGAGCAGGCCTTACACTGTAGCAGCCTGGGCAAACATTCCATGTGGAGGAGCTGTTCCTGAGGTCTGGGAAAGGTCATGCATGCCAGACACTCCAGTTTGCCCCCTTGTGTGGGTAGATCATCAGGTCCCTGTCCACAGGCAGCAATGCTTGCTTTAAAGCTGTGAGCTGTTACACCAGCTGACAGTCACTGGTCCTTCTGAGCACAGTTCACTCCCATCCTCTGCTGCTCTGGAGACCCAGGACCAGCCCAGATCACCTGGGACTGGGGACTGGCATCAGGGTGCCCAGCTGACCTGCTCAGAGCCAGCAGGAGTAGCAGCAGCAGTGGTTGTTGTGCAAGGTGTGGGCCAGGATGGGGTGGGTGTACCCACAACTACCCTCAGCTCCCAGATTGTGGTGGGACAGAAATCACTGGCTTCTCTGGCTGTGCCTTGGTGTCTTTAAAGAAGGGACAATCAGTCAGCATTACTGCCCTCTCCTGCAGAGGGAGGTGCAGCTGGGGCAGGTCCTGAGGGCTGAGAGAAGCTGAGGGTGAGGCTGAAGGTGAGCTTCCCCCTCTGTGTGTGGGGATCACTCTGGAGGGACTGGGATGAAACCCTGGGGAAGGTGACGTGCTTTGGCTGTTCCATGTGAATCAGTTGAGTGTCTGGAATCTTACCCAGCTAGGTCTTGTTCAAGAGCAAAATATTCCCTGGTTGTAAGCAATGAGGAATGGTGCAGCTCCCCTTCAGAGGGTGCCCAGGACCTCCTGTATAAGGATTTGAGGAGAGGCCCAAGCCCAAGGCTGTGCTCTGGGCTCGCTCCTCGGGCACAGGCAGCACTCTGTGTGTCGCTGCAGTTGGTGCTGGTCAGTTCTGCCAGGCTGGAAGCTGTTGTTTGTGTAAGCATTTTTCACTGCCTGGAATTCCCCTAAATGCAGGAATTGGAGCTGTCAGGCTGGGAGGACCCTGCCTGTGCAGTTGGGCAGAGAGGGATGCTGAGTGGGTTCTCTGTGGTGGCCAGTTGTGGCAGGACATTGGCCACCCAGCTCTGAGAGATGGCAGGTGCTGGGGGGGGACCAAACTGGTTCTCCCTTTCCTGGAACTGCTCATGAGCACATGTGCTGGGCATGAGCCTCGAGGGCACGTGAGGCTGCTGGACCCCTGTAGGGCTGTAAGGACAGGGGCTGGAGAGCCATGGCTGCAGAGACAGTGGCAGTTTGTGTCCTGCTCATGCAGTTCTTCTGGGGCAGATCTAAAAGAGCAGCCTGCACTGCAGAACTTTCTCTGTCCTGTGCTGGAAGCAGCTGCTACCTTCAGTTCTGTCTGGTCTGGGTGGTTGGTGTGGTACCAGGGGTGTTCTCAGAGGAGGGTTCTCCAGGGATGAGGTGCTGTCATCCTTGGTGCTCCTGGTGTCCTTGTCCCACTGTGCAGACCCTGTCAGTCCCACTGCAGTGTAGGGTGGCTCCCTCTGGAAGCTACTCCTGGTTCAGCTGTGGCAGGACTTGTTTCTGCTTAAAGCACATCCCTTACTGGGGTCCAGCCCGGCCTGCAGGCTCGTCTTCTGGTGTCTCCTTTTTTCCTTTCTTTGCCTTTGCACATCCTTGGCAGAACTTCCACTTCTGCCCACGTTTGGTTTCCTCTGTGATCTTCCTGAGCTGAAGCACAAGTTAGAGAAAGACAAACCTGTGTCCTTTCCAGCTTCACCTGGGAATAGCCCAGGCCATCCTTGGAGATGGAGACAAGCTTGTTTGATGTGCTCCTCCTGGTGCTCTACTAACCTTCCCTTTCTCTCTTTTTCTCTCTTCTTCTTGTTTCCCTCCTCCTGTCGCTGCTGCAGAGCGCCTGTACAGCCAGCTTGAGAAAAACCGCCTGCTCTCTAATGAGCTGAAGTTAACGCTGCATGATCTGTGTGACTGAGGAGGGGCTCACTAATCCCATAAATGAGCTTATTGCGACCACCAGTGCTGTGGACCACAGTGAAATCTGATCATTAAGACTGGCAGACTTGCGAATTTTATGCAATTGCTGCTTTTTAATGGGGCACTTCAATTCATCCTATAATTTATTTAAGCATTTTTTAAAACATATAAAGGTAACCTCTGTTCTTGGTGAAGTAACCCCCAGACTTCGCTGTTTTTTGAGCGCTCATTTGCTTGTCCAGGGGGTCCTGCCTGGCTCCTCCATGGAACCAGAATGGCTGCACCCCTGAAGTGAGGGGTGGGGTGAAGTTAGGCTTATGTCTGCTTGAAGCTGCTCCACCTGAGTTTATGATTAGGTAAATGACTGTAGGATTTCCTGATGCATGGAATGATGGCTTCTGCCAATAAATGACTGACCTTGTAGTCCGTGAGATGCTGCACACCTGTAGTGTGTTCCTGTCTAGGGGAGTCCTAACCGAGAAGGTCTGGGGGCAGCAGTCATTTCCTGGGCCTGACCCCACTGCAGCTGCAGAGCCCTGGAAGGGTTGTTGGGAAGGCTCATGGATATCTTGGCAGCAGGTCCCAAAATGCACAGCCCGGAGCTGTGTCCTGGGTGCCCGCAGGGTGTGTTTAAATGCTGCCATCGCTCGTGCCCGAGGAAGGCTGTTCTCTCTCTGTGCACAGTTTCTGGCTCTGGGGAGGTTGGGAGTGGCTTTGGGAATCTGCCTGTACCTAAAGGACATTTTTCAACAGCCTGTCTATCCAGTGTCCCAGCGTGTGGATGTCTCCAGTGATATGGGTGGGCTCACCTTTGGAATAAAGCCTACCTAGAGCACTAGCTGCTGATCTGCTCTCCTCCTGGCTTAAGGAACATGTGAGAATCGACCGCACAGCTGCCTGTAGTGTCAGGCAGGGTGCAGCTCCCTTGCTCCTTGCTCTCTGCCTGTCACTGCCCCGACCCCTGCCCCGCTGCCCTCCAGGCCAGTGGTCTGCTCCCTGCTGCTGGGCTTGGCATCCCTGCCCTGTGCTGAGGGAAGGGGGGCACAACCACCTGCCAGGGGTGATTTCCAAGTGTGTGTCGCTCTTGGGGTGCCTTGCTGGGCCGTGTGGGTCAGCTGTGGAGGTGTGGAAGCCCTGGGGAGAGCTGGCTGCAGTCGGAGGCACCTGCATGTGAGACACTGCCTAGAGCTCTGGCTAAAGGCACACCGTGACTGTGCTGACTGGGAGCACCAGCAGTGTGAGAGGCAAGGGCTGCACACAAGCCAGGTAACCCCAGAGCTTCCAGCTGCACCCAGCCAGTCACCCTGGCCCGAGGATCGCTGCGGGGAAGGGGCTGGCACGAGCTTTCTGTGGCAGAGGAGTTCTGGTTGTCTGACACCGGGTTTTGTAACTCTGAACTCTTGCCTCCTGCCAGATAAACTGAAATCCACCAAAGAGGAGCATCTCTGCACGCAAAGAATGCTGGACCAGACCCTGCTAGACCTGAACGAGATGTAACAGATCCCTGCCACCGCCTCCGCCACGCGACGCCCGGCGCCGGCCCGGCCGCTGCTGCCCCTTAACCCTGGAGACCAGAGTTTACTCCCTGTTGCCAACCTGACCAAACACAAATCTCCTTTGCCCCGGGGTTAAAGGCCACCAGGTTGGGCAGAGCTTCAAACAGCATCATTAAGGGAAAGAAACAATGCAATAATAATAATAATGTTTGGGGGAGCATGTTTGAGATGTACACATTTTGTAACTACCTTTTTTTTTTTTTTTTTGTAGCGACCATTGTAAACATTCCAAATATCGTGTGAGGCTGGTGAGCTACACTTCAAAGCTCTCCTGGCTTTAAAATTTGGTATTAACCTTCTGTTAATTGGCTCTAGGCCACCCTGCTTTGGCAGGGCAGGAAAAGGGTGTGATGGTGCTCGCTGTGAGTCAGAGTAGCCAGGCTAGGGATAGAAGCCTATTGGGAAAACTTCCTTTCCAAGAGCTGTTTGCCAAAAGTGCAGTTCAGTTTCTCAGCTTTAAGGTTAACTGTGCTGGGGAGGAGCAACTTGTGTGAAAGGTACTTTGTTTTGTTCTTTTTTTTTTTTTTTTTAAGCCAAGCCAGTCATCTGAACAACTGAACCTTCACAAAGATTGTGTCCCTTCTACCCCACTGTTGGCCACTTCCTTTCCTGGTGGGCTTAGAGCAGCCACAGCCCCTCTAACCCATTGCTACCCTGGGGCTGACTTTGCCTTCACTAAGTGCTGATGCACCAAGAAACTTCACCGCTCGTTGCTGGGTTACACTTAACAGCTTAAGTACAACGGCCTTGTGTTCTTGGAGAAGTGTTTTTGCCTACCTGGAGGGAGGGAGCTGAGCCTTCCCTCCTGGCCAGGACTGCTCTTACTGTCTTAATTGGGTACAAGCCATCTCGCTGTGCATTGCTGGTGTTCCGTGGTTGTGAGGCGCGAGCCACGCTCGCGGTGTGTAGCTTGTGGTTTGAGCATGCTGCTTGGTTGTAGCAGTTTTAGGGGCCAATCTGGAGACAAAAACCCTATCCAGTGTTTTGATACTAAATTGAAAAAATTGTGTTACTGTCTTTTGAAATAAAAACCGATCCCCTCCACACCACTGCTGGCTGCGGAGCTTTCCTGTGCGGGAGCCGCTCCATCGGGGCTCGGGGGGGGTGAGGGTGTGTGCCCATCCCCTGGCCATGAGACCAGGCAGAGGGTAAAGGTGGGCTTGCCAGCGTCTTCCTGGGGCTGGGGCACAAACGTGGGACCGTGGGGGTGAGTCCCTCAGGCAGTTTGGAGGTGACAGTGAGTGTTGATCTGCTGGAGGGCTCTGCAGAGGGGTGGGCACAGGCTCGATCAACGAGCCAGGGCCAGTGGTGTGAGGTTCAGCAAGGCCAAGGGCCAGGTGCTGTCCTTGGGTCACCACAACCCCCTGCAGGGCTCCAAGGCTTGGGGAAAAGTGGCTGGAAAGCTGGAAAAAGGTCCCGGGGTGCAGGTGGCAACAGGTGAACACGAGCTGGTGTGTGGCCTCAGGCCCAGGGCAGTGACCATCCCCTGTGCCGGGCACTGCTGAGGCACCTCCAGCCCTGGGGGAGTTTTGGGCTCCTCATGGCAAGACATTGGTGGGCTGGAGCGATTCCAGGGAAGGGAATGGGGGTGGAGGAGGGTCTGGAACACCAGGAGCGGCTGAGGGAGCTGGGAGGGCTCAGCCTGGAGAAAAGAAGGCTCAGGGGGGTACCTTCTTGCTCTCTGCAACCTCCTGACAGGAGGGGGGAGAGGGGAGGGGTCAGACTCTGCCCCAGGTAATAAGAAACAGGATGAGAAGAAACGTTCTCAAGTTACATCAGAGGTTTAGGTTGGATATTAGAGAAAATTTCTTCACAGAAAGGGTTGTCCAGCCCTGGCACAGGCTGCCCCATCCAACCTGGCCTTGAACACTTCCAGGGTTGGAGCAGCCACAGCTGCTCTGGTTAATCAGTGCCAGGGCCTCCCCACCCTCACAGCCAACAATTCCTTCCCCATATCCCATCTAACCCTGCCCTCTGGCAGTGGGAAGCCATTTCCTCTTGTCCTGTCCCTCCAGCCCTTGCCCAAAGTCCCCCACCCAGCTCTCCTGGAGCCCCTTTAGTCACTGGAAGGCTGCACTAGGGAAGGTTTGGAGAGCACAAGGGATCATCCTGAAAAAACCCCAAACCCTGAGCTCAGGATGTTCCCCTGGGGGAAGGGGTGTGGCTGTGCCTGGGAGGCTCTTGCTGATTTAGCAGCCCAGCAGTCCCAGGGGCTGCTCCAACCTGCAAGCAACCTCTCCCCAGCACTGGGGGGATGCTCTGAAAGCAGATCATTGCAGGAATAAACACTAGAAAAGGGATTGTTTTAATAAAATATAATGGCCAGTCTTCGCGAGCGAAGATCCGGGGAAGGTCTTTCCACCTTCCAGCCTGCGCATTGGATTTTTTAGGTGAGACACAGTGTGCGCGGAACTGAGCCCACCCTTTAATCCTAAGGTTCATCTGCCGGGGCCAAGCGAGCTTGGACGGTGGCAGCGAGGTCCTTAGGACGTAGGTGGGTTGCCTTTAAGGGCTAACGAGCCCCACCTGCCCAGGAGTGGCCCTGACCGGGAATCGAACCCGGGCCTCCGCGGTGATAGCGCGGCGCCTTTACCACTAGACCACCAGGGGATCCAGGGATTGTTTTAGTGACATGATAAACCCACTTTTATTTATGTGCTCTGCCAGCTCTTAAGGTCGTTTAAAGATACATGTCTGAGTGGAGGGGAGAAAAAATAACCCTCCCTCCCTCCCTTTAGTGTTGAGAAGGGTGCTGTTTGTTCCCCAGACCTTCTGGTGGCTGCTCTGCTGCGATGGCAGAAGAACATGGAAGGCAGAAAAGTGCAAATTCATTGAGCAGGGAATTGTATGCAGAGATGAAAACTTTCAGAAAGAACAATTTAATGACTCTCTGAGAACCTACAGGTTGTGAAACTGCATTACTCAGGCTCTGTAGGGTAAGAAGCCACTGATTTGTTCTTTATTATTTTCACTAGTGCTAATTTTTCACCAGTTTTGAAGCCAGTCTGAGCCTGTAGATGTTGAATTAAGGATTATTTATTCTCCTGTTGACAGGCTGTTTACTCCACTGTGCTGTCCTTGTTGATATGATAGCACTGAAATTATCTTCCAAATTTGAGAACTTTCTGGACAATTGTCCCCTGGAGCTGGCTGTGAGAGCTCTGGACATCAAAATATTTACTTGTGAGGTAAACTCTCCCACTGTTCATTCCACAATTTTAACTCTTTCTGCTGAGAAGGAAATGCTTCTTGTCTTCATCTTTAATGGAAAAGGAGACAAGCAAGAGTCCATGACATTTTGTCTCTGTGTGAGTTCTCCTTCCTGTAGATGATGATCAGATTCCTTTAATTTGTCAAACGAGCTTTTTGCAGAATTAGAACTTGCCCTTGAAGGTTATGTCACCTTTGTGGGTATCACCTTCCCACAGCAGCTCAGCAGTGAGGAGCAGCTGGACCTGATCTGCTGTGCCTGATCCTTCCCAGGCATCACCCACCTGATTTGTAGTGGAGGAGACTGTGAAGGCAAACAGGACATTTTGGAGCCTGGCTGTGAGTTTCTCTGGATGCTTTCACTTCACAGGGTAGCTCCTTGAGCCCTCTGAGGACGCCCCTATTCTCTTGTGATAAAGTGAAAATCGTGAGAGAATTCCTGTACAAGAACAAGAATCTTCATGTGTGAGCCCCAACTGCTCTCAACTGCCCTGTAGAAGCTGGATTTTTAGGTAATGAGTAAATGAAAAGCTCGATTATAAAACCCTCACATTTCCTTTTTTTTATTTTCCAGGAATATCCTTCCCCTCTGCAACTGCATCCCTCCTGCTGCCAGTGGGCAGCTCAATCTTCAAGCTACATCTTTTCAATTGCAGTGATTTGAAAACCGATGCTGGCATTTCTCCACCTGATGGGCTTCTCCCTAAATCAGACTTAATCAACTCCACTGCAGACTAACAACATGGAAATAGGCCCTGGAGCTTGGAAAGCACATGCCAGAATTGCCTTCATGCCACTTCTCTGCTGCTTGTTTTTGTTATGGAGTGTTTGGAGTCAGGGTACTTGGATACTTGGGAGGATGAAGAACGAGAACACTTCTGCTCCAGTCCTTGATTCCTGCCCAGAGCAGTCTCACAGTGACCCTGTGCCTGTCCTCTGTTCCCCACTACAATCTGCTTTATGGCAGAGGGAAGATGTTTCTGTCACAGAAATCAGCACTCTCGCTGCTCTGGGACAAAGCCTGATGCAAACTTCAGCTTTCCAAGCCAATTTAGGAGTGCTCCTATTGTTAATCCCCAGATTAATAACTTCCAATAATAGAGCTGCATTTCTTAATGAAAACCACGTTACCAAGTTGCTGCTGATGGTTCTTGGGAGCCAACCTCGTGTTTTATTTCAGGTTTCACCATCTGCCCAGGAGGCAGGAGGATGCTGGAAGTGGAGCAGGAGTATGTGATAGCTGTGGAAGTTTGTGACACCAAAGTGTATTTATCTGATGGGAATGTGTGTTTACTTAACAACGAGCAGCTGCCAAAGGGAGTGCCATGGGGAACTGTGCTACAGATTTTAGCACTAATAAGGAAATGAGAGAATGAGAAGGGAATTAACCCTTGTTGTGTTATCTCAGTCTCTCCTTCACACACGGTTCTATTCCCATATAATCCCCAAAAATCTTCTGTGTGACAAACTACTATAGAAATGCAAAATTCTGCATTTCTGGAAAGTGCATTGGGTGTTCCTTGGAAGAAAACACACTTTTCACTGATTTCTGTCGATTCACAGGACCTGAGAATAACTCACCATAATAAAACACAACAGGTTTCTGTTCTGCAGGTAAGAGGCAAAGGTGGGAGTAATTTTCTTCACTTTTTTTTTTCTCTAGTCCAATAGGCCATGTACCAACACTCCTGTTCATACCTATGTGAAAGCAGCTGCCCTGTGCTTGAGGTTATGCCATATTTCACAAAAATCACAGATTCACAGATTCACAGATTGCTTTGGGTTGGGAGGGACCTTAAAGATCATCCCATTCCAATCCCCTGCCTGCACTGGGGGGTGGGAGCAGGGGTCTCCACTGTCCTGGCAGATGCAGGGGGCTGGTAGGATGGGGTCCCTGATATCCTGGGAGATGGAGACAGGAGTCTGCACTGCCCTGCAGGACAGAAGCTCCCAGGAGTCTCTGCTGGACTTGGAGTGTCCCGAGGCTACAGAGTGGTGAAGGTGGGGGTCTCTGCAGCCTTGCACATTTGAGGAGGGGGTCTCTGCTGCCCTGGACAATGGAGATGAGGTGGCTCTTGGCTGCATGGGATGATGCAGGTGGAGGTCTCCTCTGTCCTGGGGGCCAGGGCTGGGAGGCCTCCAGTGCCTCAGGCAAGTGAGAGGAGGATCTTGGCTGTCCCAGGTAACCCAGAAGGGGATCTCCTCTGTCCTGGCAGATCAAGGCAGGGGTCACCACTGCATCTCTATTGGACTTGGGGGTCTCCACTATACAGGCTGGTGAAGGTGGGGGGTCTCTGGGTACCTTCCCAAGGGCTCCACTGGCCAACACTTCCTGGTATGGTTTCCAAATTCCAGACCCCCTCCTGGGTGTCTCTGGAGCCAAACTCCACTGCCCTCAGCCCTGGCACAGAGCAGGGGAGATGTGGACACCACTTCCTACACCTCTGGCCAGACAGAACACTCAGCACAGACCTGGTCAGCCCCTCAGTAAAAAAGCTGCAGTATTTTATCACAGCCTGACTTTCCCAGCTTTCACTGGGGAAGGTTTGGGGAGGCTTTCACTCCTTTTCCAGCAGGTACACTGCTCTCCCCACAGACTGGCTCCACTGTGCTGCATCAATACCTCTGCTCCACGCTGATTTTGGGCATCAGAACCCACTTTTTCCCTTTAACATCCCTCCACTGCCCTGAAATCCACCCAGCGTGGCGTGAGGAACCCCACTGCCCAAAGACAGCGCTCTCTCCTCACCAGTCACCCCAATGTGAGTCAGGCTGTAGCTGGGAGGCCACCCCTGAAGCTCCCAGTACCCCCACGTTCCGCTGTGCCAACCTGCTCATG